GGATGAACGAACTTTGCATAGCATTCAAACCTGGACTTGGCATAGTGTTCATGGCATCAGCCGTGAACCACGACTCTAATTTCCATCTCAGCTCAAGCTATCTCCACCTGATGGGTTCAAACCAGGACGAAACCGAGGTGATGGGGTGCCAGTGTTGGGATGAGCAACACCAAATATTTCTACTTGCCTAGCATTTTTACTATATTGCTTCACTATTATCCCGTTCGGGTAGCTCCTGTGCAACATTTGTATCCTACCACAAATTGCTGTTTTGGGGTACTGAGGAAGGATCCTCCGTGGGCCTCCAATATTACGTTGTATGCGGCAGCGATCAATGGGAATTGGGATTGAGAGTAGAGCATTAGAAAGTGTTGACAATTTTTGTTTTCATTGTCTGATTTCAGTCCGAGATTTGTTCGCTCGTAACTTTTTCGGACAGAAATTGGACGACCGCCGGTTTGAAATCGGTCACTCGGCAGACACTCGAGCTACCAGGACATCTCCCAGTTCACGAACAACGAAGACATGTCCCAATCGCTCCTAATCCAGTGGCTATTTTATTAATCCGTTAAATATACTTGGCGCCGGGAACCAACATAGATCTAGTCGCAATGGCTGCAGCCAAACAAGCTGACCCACATATAGACAAGCATTGACATAACACGTCACACACTGCGCGAAATTCCTCTAACTTCATCTGAGAGAACTATAATGTAACGTCTCACAAACATCTCCTTGCCTTGTAGTTCTTTTAGCTATGTGCCGACGAATTTTTAATACACTACACAACCTGCCTCATCTCGGTATACGTGCTTTCGCGAAGCTCGTAACCAAAGGCTTTGTTTGGCTCAAAGCCAACCGCGATGTCTGCATTTAGGCGCGCGCATACCTTGAGCGCCAACGCGCCAAAGTTTGTAGGCACACTCGACGACTTCCTTGTTCCTGACGCTCGAGTTGAGAATGTTCACGTCGATCTGATCGGACCTTGGCCACCATGCAAAGGTTGCATGTACATCCTCACATCTGATGACAGATTTACACACTAGCCAAAAGCGATTCCGAGTACGGACTGTTCATCTGGGACAGTAAGACGCGCTTTCCAAGAATGCTGGTTAGTTCAATTTTGTTGTCCTGCTGTAGTAATTACCGACCGAGAATCCTCTAGCAAACTAATCAAAATGCTAGGCTCGCAGCACAACCGAACCACCGCATAGTACCCCGCAGCTAACGGGATGGTGGAAGGGTGCTGTTGTCAACACAAAGCATCACTTTGTGCCCAATCTAAAACATCCTGGCAAGAAGCACCTTCGCTCGTTCTGTTAAGCACAAAGAACACGATTAAAGCGGACAGGCACGCCACCCTATCTTTGCTAGTATTTGGAAGCGCATAATGCCTACCCGGTGAATTTGTTGCACCAATAACTTCGAATATGGCAATTACGCAGCTCACCTATCATACTATGTGCGACAGCTTCAGCCTGTGCAACCCAGAACAGAGTTCGTATACCAACATAGACGAAGGCCAGGCTACTTGCACTCAGGTGTTCGTTCGAACTGACAAAGTATGCCGGCTACTGTAACCTCCCTATTCTGATCTGTGTCGTGTCGTACCCAGAACTGATAACATTTCTAGCATTGACTACAATGGTAAAACTGCGGTGATCAATATTGACCGAAACAAATACACATTTTGGGACGACTGACTCACCGGTGCGACAATCACCTTCTCAGTCGGTGTCATGACGGTCAGCACCGCAACATTAGATTATTCACTCCGCTTCAGCGGAACCTACAGAGACAACCGACCACACTTCTGCACGACGTAGTAACGTGGTGAGAAGTCAAACCTCACATCCGTTTTCCAGACTTTGTCAGCGTCCGTTGTTTCCTGTAGTGCGTGCCTGTCTCATTTTTATGCTCCTATAAACATTTTCAAAAACTCACAGAAGACTAAACGTTTTGAAACTATTAAAAAAGCAAAGCCTTTTGAAACCCAAAAAACAGCCTTGTAGGTCTTTCTTATTACATCATTATGTGCAAGTGTAGCTGCGCGTTTACGCCGCTTTTCCACTTTGCTTCCCATGTACACATCGTCGGTTGGTTACCCTCTGCTTGCATGTTTCGCAGGATCCTGGCAGCTCACTCGAGCACAAAGTGCTCGCTTAGCCAGCTATTCGGACCTTTACGAACTGTCCTCCAAAAAACATTTTTTCCGGTTCTACACCGTAAGGAGGACCCAGTTGGAGACCCGCTAGGATCCGTTCGCATTAGTGCGCCTCCAACAGATGCATCGGGTACAGTCAACACCAATGCAAGTCCCATTGGGTCGGTTTGGCGACCTGATCTCGCAGAAGGCTGCTTGGCAACAGATAGTCTTCACGTAGGTCGAAGAAATTCTTACACTGTCCCCTCTGGGAGAAGGCAATCTAGAATTTTGAAGATTATACCCGGTTTGCCTGAGTATTTCATGTAAAATTCTAACTAAAATACTATCTTATTGTGTACTTAGGCGATTTGTGCAGAACGTTGAGCTGCACGTTGAGTTCCACTATTTGAATTGTGTACCGCCTTCGACTGGTGCACGTTTGGCTCGCAACGTGCGACCGCTCCGTGTGCTGCGTTCTATTTGTTCCCCTAGCTAACAAAGTCAATTGATGTCGTTTTTATAGCGAGGCTAACAGGCAGTCTATCACTGTATAAAATGGAAGCTTCCATGCATTCTATCTGCCGCTATCTCCCGCTAAAACTCCAAACCCTCCGTAGTGTTAACATGCCGCAAAATGGGCGCGACAACTATTCCATCTCAAGAGAACGCTATGCAAAGATAGTCCTGTTTGTTGTAACGCCATCGCTTTGATACAGCGTCCTCAGTCGGAATGACGATGCGGATCATGTGGTCTGTGTCCCGCGCCGAAAAGTGGCTGTTCGAATCCGGATAAACGCGATAGGGTAACTTAGTCGGCCAACGGTTCTTCCTCAATGCACTGATACTAACAAGGACACCGCACGACTGCTCGCCACCCGAGAGAGAAGACAGTGGCATTCCGCGATGCGTATGCTGCTCAAGTAAGACAATAGAAGACGAAGGTGAAGTTTCTATAGGCTAGTATTCATATGACGGGTTTCCTTGTTATCAGAAGGGCGGAGTAGTCGTCACTTGGCAATGGAACGAAAGTAACCATTAGAGTGACGTAATTACCACCAGACAAAGGTATCATTAAGGGCCTCAAGCAATCGGCGACTTGGCAACAGTATCTCTTGGTAATACAGGGAGAGTTGCCAACTAGTAACGACGTCGTCCATAATGGATCGCGTAAGCGTTCCATGGCTACATGACTGGCAAACTTGGAGGACAGAAACAGGTGTCCCGTGCGACGCTTTGTGGAACCATGAGTATTCCACAACAAGTTTTATTTCCCTTTTAAGGCAGTGGCACTATCTCGGCTTCGGCGCCGTAGCTTCAGAAGGATGTTACTTATACCGAAAAGGAACGAAACTGAAGAACAAGTTGATTTAGAGCCAGCGTGAGAAATCATTTGATGAACGCCTAAAGAGTCTAGGATCGTTTTACCTGGAACCAGGGATCTGAGCGATGTTCACGATTACGTCTGATCCGTTAGAACTAGCTACATCTGACTACATGTTGGAGCATGGACTTAGGCCTAAAAATCAGAGGTCCAGGTTGGGAAGTAAAGCCTCTCTGTAAATCGTGTAGCTCATAGTTTGAACAAGCCTCTCTGCCTTGATAAGAAGTACTAATATAGAAGCCTTTAAAAAGAGCTTAGATGTGTTGGATGGATCGTTATCCGGAACTCTTGTTGATTTGCTGAACGTTATCGCTGAGATCTCGTACTCCATGATCCAATGGACTACGGAAGTGGCTCTTGTTCTTTCTTCACTTCATTGTCCAGAGGCAAGAAGAGCAACTCAAACTTCGAAGTGCCGGGGTCCCTGGTTTTATTGCTGGTACGAGAAACAGGCAGAAGCCTATTATGTCCTTGAAATGCGAACCAACCTGAGCAGTGCAATTGTACCGCGTTGATTCATCAACGCGGCGACAGAAGTGCACAGTCAGATGCGCTGTTACTGAGGGGTATCGGCCAGTCACATTAACATGAAGAAAGAGGTAAAAGAACTAATGAAAAGCAACATAAGGTAATACAAATATGCATCTCATTAGTGTCACCGTCTTTGTTCTCTGCGTCGTTTCCTAAACAAAGGCTATACTAACATAATGCAAGCACCACAACAAATCGTCTGGTTTGCGAAGAAGTGGCCGGTGAACTTCTGTCTGGCGACCGAAATTTGTACCGTCGACTGTCAAGTTCAACTGGGACCAGAATAGTGGGAAATCTCCAGTGATAAATATTGGGGAAGATTTGACCACCCAGAAAATACGAGCACACTCTAAATACCTTGCATGGTGTAAGTTCGAAAATTGTTCTACGCTGACTGAGCGGTACCTACTACCATGAAAAAGGCTGTCACCGCATGTAGTAATGCTAAAGTCATGGTGCACATTTGAGTATCCGATATTTTCCGAAGCATGTCTCACTGTGGGCATCAGCTGTGTGAAAACAGGTAGCCTATCGAAGGCCGTTAATCATACCCGCGTAAACAAATCGGACACCTGTGCTGAGTGGGTCAATCGTGAAAGTTGTATAAGTGGTAATACATTACTGTACCGACTTCAGGATACGCCCAAAAGATTGGCTCATAAAGTCACCATTTGAATAGGCTCCGTTGCCTCATCCCATCATATTAGGACAGGTACGACCTATCACACTAATCATTTTCGCTTAATAATTCTATGAATGAGTGATAACGGACTGGGGAATAGAGTACAAACCATTTCACTGCAGATACTTATGAAATGCATTTGCCCATAATCCAGGAAAGCTTACTTATCGCCGCAGAATCAGTGATATTAGTAGTTGTGTTGAGCCTCTAGTCTCATTCCAAAGGTAATTAGCTGAAAGAAATTAGATAGAGGGGGAAGTACGGAGTGCAAATGCTATATTTACCGAGACCACAAAGAATAAACTATATGTCTAAAGCAATCGAGGTGCAAAATGTAAGTTATTGGTGAGTCGCTTTTGGAGAAATTACCATTTAATATCGTGGATGACCTCCGCCAAGGTTTTTGCGCTGTGTTGTAGTTTTTCTTCTTCTTCTTGACTTAGATGCTGTGGAATAACATGACTTACTCCGGCTGAGGTGAGCAGGCAGGGCAGGCTCAAATAAATTTCGTCTTTAATCCCGTGAAATCCTTTTGCCAGTGTAGTTAGAGGGTACACTGTGCGCAAGTTGTTGAGAATGGCGTTGCAAATGGAGCGACACGTAAGCCCGATTGCCCAAGAAGTGTAACCTTTAAGCCTTATGATTTCGTAGGCGCTATGCACCACCGCCTTATGAACTTGGTCGAAGTTCTCAGGATCCTTATCTATACCAATATGCGGATATATTGAGGATAATCGAACCCCAGCGATGTTGACGTTGCTCCAAATAGGCACACTTGAATCACCGTGCTCACCAATAACATAACCATGGACAGAGTTTGCAGACACTCCAAGTTTTTCACCCAGTAGGAAACGAAACCTCGCAGAGTCCAACATAGTTCCCGAACCCAAGACGCGGTGTGTGGGAAAGCCACTCAATTTGGACGCCACGTAAGTGAGAATGTCAACAGGGTTTGAAACTACTACGATGACGCAGTTTGGACTGTACTTCGCAACATCTGGAATAATGTGCTTGAAGATCTCTACGTTTCTTTGAACCAAGTTTAATCTTGACTCTCCTTCATTTTGCCTAGCGCCAGCAGTGATCAAGACTATATCCGAGTCCGCGGAGAGTGAATAATCAGTTCCACCACGCACGACACATCTGCGTAGAAACTGCTGCCCATGCTGGAGGTCCAAAACTTCGCCTTCTACCTTGTCTTTCAACACATCAATTAGACATAATTCACCAGTAATCTCCATAACAGAGAATGCAGCTGCCATTCCGACAGCGCCCACTCCGACCACAGTTATCTTGGATCGTTGTCGAGGTTTAACATCGGTAGGAGCAACCTGTTTCAGTATGGATGACATGATCGAACCAAGACAATGATTCAGGGTTTCGGAGCGTCCGATTGCAAAGGGCGAAAAAACGAGGTGCTAGGTGGGAGAACTGTGGTACAAGTGGAAGTCAGCAGCCGGTTCCAATATGTAAAATGTACTTTTACTGTTAACTGATACACATCCCTGCAATACCGAATACGTTATGTTTTGTAAATGATGGCATTTATATATATATATATTTACTTTACTGTTATACACACCGATGTAGCGTCAATTCTTAACGTTATTGCTTCGCATATCTTCAAAACTCTAGCACGCCTAGCATTCCTTTATCAAATACTACTGAAATATTTAATTTTATTGCGAAGCAAATTTGTGGATTTGAGTAATTGCTGTATTACAGCACACAATGTAAAAGAAATTCAAATGAGCCCGCCATTGTGCGACAAACGGATCCCGCAGGATTAAATGGTACGATCGTGTTACCGCAAAAATGAAGGTTTAACTGGTTAGTTCTATCAAACAAACTTAGAAGGTCATGGTGGAATAAATAAAATATAAAGTAAGCTGTATGATTAGTCTGCAGCACGCCTTAGGCAAAGCACACTATTATTGCAGCGTAAGTTGCTGCCTTTATAACAATATAACATCCATTATACGGCCTGTCATAATATAATTCAAGTTCAAGTGGGATCGTGAGTGTTTATTTACTAGCGAATTATTGAGCCAGAAGTTTATAAGGGGTTCCAAAGATTGCACTGATGTAAACTGAAACACCGGAATCACACACTATTTAACCGGCGGGCGTGTGGTGAGCTGTCTCCGGCTGGTGGGTTTTCCCGTTATCAGACAGAAGTTATTTATTCCCTATCAGAAACCATGCCGATGACCCATGACCTATGGATTGTCGTGCGGACTTCTTTGAAGTAGGTTTTGCAATGTGCGTGACTCAAGGTATAATGTACATGCGTTGGGTCTGCTTGTAGACAAAGCACTTCCCGACATACTTACTTTGACCTAAACGTGAGTTGATTGTGGAGGGTCAGAGGCGCGGATTCAAGGCTGTGTCTATGCTACGTGTTTTACCTTATCCCCTTCGTCCTCAATGTAGGAACTACCGCCGTCACCGTAGTAATTAGATTCATAGTAGACGCATTTTACGTGGCGATTTGGGGAAGGAGGTGCAGCAGTTCTTCCTGATCAACCCAGTTGGTTCAACACAGTGCCACCGCTTGAAACCTTTTAAACGTTGGTGGAACCGTATCCTGTCCGACGTCGCGTTATCCACACAGGATGTGAATGAGTGGAACCTGTTCCCTGAATATGTGTTAAGTGCCACACCGAGGAATGTGTTAAAGAAATATTGTACGATTACATGTTGAGCATGCCAGGACGCCGCTTATTTTTCTGCAGCTGTAATAAGTCTTCGAGAAAAACAGTTTAGCAACAACAAGTGTCATCCAGCCAATGAACGTGAGGTGATAGAGCTGACACAAGGTTTTCCTTTCTGCTCTCTGCAACTCTATGGACAATGAACACTCCGGATATCAAAGTGGGTGTGAGGTATTTGTACCTGGCTACTCACTGCTTAGAACGGATTGTTCCGTTTATCGTCTAGGCGTAGACAACATAATTTGTCTTAGCTAAACATAAGATGGGTTGAGTACATTTCCATTTCATCATCCGACTGTTGAATCTACTTCTGTTGTTAGGTACAATTCCTCTACCCAGTATACAACTGCAGTTCTATAAAATGCTTCTGGAAGTTCTCCAGCGGGTAAATTGTCCTTCTTTGCAGTCCGTCCGCCTATAAGTGGTTAGCGCTTGGGGATTTCTAACTCCGGACGAATGTGGGGCAACCCTTCTTGTAATCCTTCGCCAGTAACATTCGGCGAAGACTTTCTTGATCTGAATAATTATGTTCCTTTGCCTCAGTTCTTAGGATATTTCACGAGGTATGTGGACAACTAAATACTAGCTACTTTAGACGTGCTTTTCACTAAGTCCATCGAATTCGTATTTGGCGGTTGGTACTTTACACCTATAGAGTCCGGCGACCACGCATGCATATCATTTCGGTATGCTCTTTCAAGGCACCAACAGACCGCTGTTGAAGCACTTGCGAATATTTGGCGGGCGCGCTTAAGTGCAATGCCAGCTAAGGCTTCTGTTTTTAACTGTTATATCTTGAAGGCTGACTGTCCAGTTAGCCCGGGATAAATTTAAGGCATGCCATACTTTAGGTTCCCATGCTCCATACTCCGGTCATGAGAATAAGTGTGCTACGGACACAGCCTCCATGGAGAGCTACGTTAGGCAACTACTTACTCAAGAAACAATCTAGATGTTGGCGAACCTCTAAGCGGCTCCATCAACCAGTACCTACGACAGTTATGGAGAGCTTAGAAATAAATGAAAGTCACAGCTCATTATTGCTCGCCTCCAACACGAGCAGCATTTAGCAGGCTAGGCCGCAGATACTCCCAAACAGCTTGTGTTTAGGTTAAAATACGCAGTGGCGCAACATTATCTGTAACAGCGTTAGTGCAAGCAGACGGGACCCGTGTGCAAACTATGACAACGCTTGCATAATTAGTGAAGTACACACTGGGCGCTTTGCTCGGGAAACCTCTTTAACAAAGGTTGAATTACATTCAGGAGTTTCGGAGGATACTTGCCGAACAGAGATGTGCTTAAAGGGAACTCAGGCATTAATCCTTTAGTGACCTGGAGCTTCATCATGCTTCATCATTTCGCTCCAAACGTTGCGCTCAGGGTTTCTGTTGACGCATCGGGCACCACCATTAGCACCGTCCTACGCTGTCATACTCCAGACGACTACAACCTGCCGAAGGCAAGTACCGCACTTGTGGGCGCGAACTGCAGTCCGTATACCGCTGGACATTTCCGACACGTCGGTTGAGGTAACGCCTTCCTTACCTTTACCGACCAGAAGCCATTTAGCTACGCATTCCGAAAGCAATCAACTCGACACACACTACGTACGATACGTCAGCTTGCTTCCGTTCTCCATTCCTCAACTGACATCCTATTCCATTTTGGTCAACAAAACGTCGTCGCTGCTTCTCTTGAAAGAGTAGCTGCGATCAACCCTGCTGAAAGAAAATCGATTTGTCTTGTTTGGCCTCCGCGCAAACAAACGACCAGCAGTTTTCAGAACTCTGTCCTTCCTCTTTGAAGACATCGCCACACCCTTTGCAGTCATCTGCGGGTACCATATTATGCGATACAACTACCGGACTACCTCAGCCCATCGTTCCAAAAACCTATCGCCGTACCGTATTCCACACTCTTCACAATATCGCCCACCCAGACAGTTAAGCTACTGCTAAGTTTGTTTCCGGGCTCTACGTCTCGCCGCGGAGGCAAGTCGAGTTTGCGCGCTGGGCATGCAGCTGTGTTACCTGTCAGCAAGCCAAAGTGCACCATCAAGTGTTGACTCCCCTTGGTCGCTTTCCGCTCGTTTCAGCTCGTTTTGTCCGTGTCCAGCTAGCTACAGTCGGACCCTTAGCCCCATTGTTTGGCCTCAATCACGCTGGACTTTGAATCCAGCGACCTGAGTTCGAGTCAGACTGTGGACTTCACCAGTTATAACGCTTCGATCGTGTGCTATATATGCAGTACGAGACTGCATGACCAACCATGAGAGTACGGGAGAACACACGAACTTAAGCAAGGGAAATGGGATAATGAACGGTAGAAGAGCTAGGTAAGTCTAAACATGTGGCACCAGAAGATCGCTAGCTGTGGGATGGGGTTGGGCGTCGATCGCATTGTCGGAGTTTCGTTCGCAGTGGAGTCGCGCCCACCAACGGTGAATATCAGGTGCTGCAAACAAACTGGAACATAGTTCCGGCAAGCAAACTGCTAAATTCCCTAATGCGTGAAAAACCTATGGTTTTAGAATATTCTAGAATCAGTTACACAATCATAACAGAAATCTTCTGCTCACTTCAAGCCCACTAAATAGTACGGGCTTGCTTCCATTCATCCGAAGCTGTTGCATGAATTGGCTGCGGAGCTTAATGGTCTTCTTACCTGCGCGTTTTCAATATCGCTTGACCTGTACGTCCGATATTTAGAGGCAGTGACAGCGCTCTGCCCTCAAATTACCAGCTTGTCAATTCGACAAGCGAAGTTGTGGTTTATTGAACTTCTGATAAGGGTCCGGTGTTGGACCATTTTAATATATTTATCCTCAATGGTGTGCAGCATGGCTTCCCTAAAGGCTTTATGTGTCAGCTTAAGCTACGTGTAGCTCCTGATAGCTAGGCCAAAGCGGTAGGTATTGGCTATGCTGTAGGCGTACTATACGTGGACTTTTCCTAGGCGTTTGGCCCTGTTCCTCAGTTTAGACTCTTACTAAAGTTTAGGTCTTGCGAGGTATCTGGTTATGCCTTTAAATGAATGCCTGCTTTCCTGGACAAGTGGGAAACTTGTGCACGCATGCGGCATAGCTCATTGCTTGGTTAGGTTCACCTAACTGGCATCCAGCTGGGCTCGGTATTGGGGCTATTGTGGTTCGCTGTCTATGTACCTGACTTGCCGGGGGAGCTGGGAGTGTTCTCACTAGTGTTTACTGACGATCTTAAGCACTGGAATATTATAGCTATCCCTGGGGTCCTGAGACAAATCAGAGTGCATTTTATGGGCTCTGGAAGTTGTTTGTCTTATGGTAGATGCCCATAAGTAGAGTCAACTGCTCTGTTCTCTGAATTGGAGCCGCTGGTCCTCCCACTCGGTTTGTTGCCGGCGGTAAGCTGAGGATGGTAAGAAAATCCCTACTGTTACAGAGAAGACTTTTCATACTGCTGCTAATTGGATGAAGGCTGCATGCCGGGAGGTCTGTATGATGTGGTTTATCTGTCCTCCTTTCGGTGTTCTGAAGGTCAATATGGTCGTGGAGGTATGCACTGCTTTCTGCCGACCCAATTTCGAAGCTCGTGTTCAGCCTTATCCTTTATCTTGCCTCAGACAACATGGACTTGGAGTCGGGGTTACGAGTGGGTACTTGGTTAGTGCAAAGGCTACGGGGACAAACATAGCCAA